CGAACTTTCCATGCTACCTAAATAAAAACTAAAATCCAACTTTTCATTATTTATATAGCTATCAATTGGTCTGGTCGTCCATGGACAAACCAATTGACAAATGACAAATCCAATTGGTTTTTATCACCTCCGACTAATTATCGATCATAAATATAATCGTCGAGTAGTCTTTTCACCAAATATTTTAATAGCTTTAAAATGTATCATCATTTCGACTGACGATAAAAATATTCTCGGGATAATCGAACTTTGTATTTGTGCATGAAAGATATATTTGTATTCAAATACAGTTTGTCCGTTTGTAGATATACAAAGTTAAATCCGATTTATATTGTTTTTCTAAAATAATTATGTTGAGAAATCTTGCAAATGTTACTATGATGTTTTCACTCTACAACAATTTGCATGCAAATTATTCAGACCATTATAGCAAATGGTTCCGCATCAAAGATGGTTTGATTGAATGCAAATACTGAATTGGTCAAAACAAATGTTGCATTCGAATACAAAAATGAGCTACCAATAGTGCCGAAACTAATGAGTAGGTAGCAAAATACGAACAATTTATATAAACACTGCTAAAATGAATAAAGAAAAAGAGGGTAAAAGATGATTTTTTTTTTTATATAAAAGAGGAAAGAAAACAAATGCCTTTAAATTTTCTATTTTACCACCGGCAAATCTCTCTCTCGCTCATCATCATCACCAAACATTAGAAACTTGCTAAACAAACTCTCTCATCTTCAGACCAAAGATATACAAAATAGTTGCACCTCTGAAGAAGCAGAACAACACTCATACTGCAACCAAAGCCCCACCACCTTGTAACCAAACTATAATCCCCAAGAAAATAAAAGAAAAAGAAGCAACTTTCTTCCATCCGGAGACAAAAAACAAAATCGGATCACGAGGCGGGAGTTACGTCCTTTGTTGCTTCTTGTATGAAAGGGAGCTTCTGCACCAGTGATGGCTTACACTTCTTGTACTGTTTTTTTTAAACATGGAAAGAAAAACAAATTAAACACAGGAAGAGAAGATTAAAGCAACCGAGGAAGAGTGTTGTTGTATCCCGTACCTGTTCAATGAAGGATCTGATTTCTTCTTCTGTGATGGCTTCGTCCTCCTCGCTATTGTTTTCATCCCACCCAAGGGATTTAAGGAACTCAGCCTCTTTCTCATCTGGACGTTCAGCTGATTCGAAACCATTATTCCTCTCTCTAACTTTAGAAACTTTCTCAACCTTTTCCATGATCTCGTCTCTTTCTGCAGCCTGTCTACTTGAAGAGTCACTAGCTGGAAGCTCATTGAAGCTGTTTGCTTTTTCCTCAACGAAAGAAAGGATGCAAGAGCTAGCTTCTGATGGATCAGTTGAGATGTTTGTAGATGAGTTCTGCTTCAAAGCTCTGTAGAATGCATTCCTGCTCTGAGTTTGAGCCAAGAAAGGTCTCTTTTCAACAGTTCTTCCAGCTATCACGTTTACGGAAGCTCCCTTGAGATCCCTTGGACTGTTTGTACTTCTAACAGAAGCTGTAACTTGTGTGGATGGAGCAGAGGTCAGCTGGCTAGCAGCAGTTGGACTTCCGGATTCTTTGGTAGAAGCTACACCATTTTCCCTAGCAGGTTTGAGAACCACCAGCTTCTTACTAGTATCAGGCTTGATCTGACTACCAGGATTAGGCTGAAGATTACCGAGCACCATTGAGGACTGCTGTTGGGTATTTCTTAGAGAAGCAAGACCGCTTTCACCACTTCGAACCAGTGGTTTTGCCTTGGATTTATCCGAAGAGTTCAGACCCTGACATCAACCAACAGTTACTGAATGTATCCCAAAGTAAACGGTTGGAAAATAAGATTAAACTATGGGGAAAAAGCTTACCAAGCCCTTTGGTGCTGAAGGCACAACCGGTATCAACTGCCTTGATTGCTTAATTGCCCGGTCCTCAAGTCTTTGAGTGCTTACAGATCCCTGAAAAAACTAATATCTTAGACAAACAGAAAAGGAAGTGTACTATAAGCAACACAAAGATGCAAATCATACCTGGGGTGGTGTACCAGTTCTTGATGGAGCCTGCACCAATGCTTCAGCCATGTTACGACCAGTCGGTCCCATCAAGGTAGCCGAATTACCAACATTAGCATGAGATCCAGCACCAGTTTTCTCAATAACATTGGGAACCTCTGCCAGAGCCGAAGTCCAACCTTCCCCGGTAATCAAAGCTGAGTTACCAACTGGCAAGCTCTGAACAGCAGGACATAGACCAGGAGATGAAATTCTCACAAGGTCTGGACCTCCATTGCTCTCTTCGGCTGTAAGCAAAGGAAAATCCTTATCGAATCCAGTTTTTTTCAAGCTCTTTGCAGGACTACTTCCAGGAAGTGTACCTTTCCCATTGTAAACATTAATGCTTCCACCATTTTTTAATCCCAGAGTAAGCCCTTGAGCCAGGTGGTTGCCCTGTTTCCTAGTTGTCATTGAGTATGATCGTCTCAGTTGCTCCTGTTCCCTACCAATTAAAAAGGTTCCAAGAGGAAAAGGAGTGTCGAAGTCCCATGGATCCATGTAGCTCAATCTATCCCTCTCCCTGGTACGATCTTTATCTCTGTTGCTCCTACCGAAGTTGAAACTACTATATGCATTTTTTGTAAACCCATTACTAGACCCCCTCCTTGTATTGGTGGAAGAAGACCGGTCAAGATAAGGAGACCGAACTGAATCAACATCACTTGTCCTCCTAGAAGTCCTACTCTTGCTATTATTTGATAAAGACGAAGAAACTAAACAAGAAATAAAAAGAGAAATAGAGTTACCATGCTATTTAGATAAACCAGACAATAATACAATATGGATATAGAAACACACCTGAATGAGAAGAAGATGACAGAAGTTGATTCGAACCATGCCCTGAGCTTCTCAACCATTCAGGTACTAACGAGGGCTCGCGTTTTTCCATTAGAAAAGCTGTACTTCATCAGATAAAAGGAAACAAGTTGCAAACTTTTCTGGCCTCTTTCACCCTCAAGAACAATTGAACTAAAAAAAAAAAAGGCTCTTCTTCTTCTTCTAGACTCTCCTATCTAATCACCCTACCACCACAAATCCAATCCTTGGGCTTGCTTAATCGCAAATGCAAGAACACAAAACCAGTGATGAGGAAAAACCCTCTACACATCCATCTCTCCCACAGATGGTTTAGAGATGCTACTCCAAACCCAACCTAAAAGATCATCATCCCTATGAGATAAGAGGAGAAAGGGGAAAAGAACCCACCAATAGAGAGCAGTTCTTGATTACAGTGATGATGGCACCACCAACCAGAAACCCTAAACAACTACGCAATAATATCTATATATATGACTATCAGTCCCGATACGAATCAGCCTTAGCCCTAGAATTCGAAACACAGCGACGGATTTGAATCAACGCATCATCAGAAATATTCCCGAGAATAGGAACGGCGGTTGCGACGAACACACCAAAACCCAAACCAGGAAAGGAAGATTGTTCGTCTAAACGCAAGCGTCAAGAGTTTCGTAGATGCAATCGCTCAAACCAAACAATGGCTTCCTCCCCACGGAGGGAGAAATAACCAACAACAACAAAAAAAAATTTACCCGAAACGAGAGAGAAACGGGAACCGATGGAAGGAGAAGCAACTGGAAGGTGAAATTAGGGTTTTCGGAAGAGAAAAATCGAATAGAAATTAGGGTTTTTGCGATGTAAAGAGACTGGTAGAAGAGAAGAGGCGAAATTTTTTTTTTTTTTGGGTCTGTGTTTTTGGGATACTTGGAGGAACGAAACGCATGAACAAACAGCAGCCTCTTTTTGTTCTCTCTCAGAGAACTCGGT